TTTTTTTTTTTTTTTTTTGAGACAGAGCCTCAAGCTGTGCCCCTGATTGGAGTGCTGTGGCATCACAGCTTACAGCAACCTCCAACTCCTGGGCTCAAGTGAGTCTCCTGCCTCAGCCTCCCAAGTAGCTGGGACCACAGGTGCTGGCCACAACACCCAGCTATTTTTTGGTTGTAGCCGTCATTGTTGTTTTGGCGGGCCCGGGCTGGATTCGAACCCGCCACCTTCGGTGTATATGGCTGGCACCTTAGCCACTTGAGCCACAGGCACCAAGCCTAACAGCTCTTTTAATAAAAGGATTGCTATGTAAAATTTGGATTCAGTGAAAAGACCACACTTAAGGGCCAAGATGGCCACAACAAGTCTCTTTAAGGCCTACGTTTCCCATCCCCAGACTCTATCTTAAGTCCCTACTAGGGAGCTCAATGTGGGAAGGGAGTGGGAATTGCCTTTGGCATTACAGTATGAATGTGCCACCCACTCTGGGAACGTCTGGGTTCTCTCCCCCAGCCACTGCTCTTTTCTTGAGCTGGATCTTGAGGTTTTAATTTCTTTCTTTCCTTCTTTTTTTCTTTCTTTCTTTCTTTCTTTCTTTTTTTTTTTTTTTTTTTTTTGAAGACATATAAATTCCCTTTCTGTCAAGTCCATTAAAAAAAATTTTTTTGTGAGACAGAGTCTCATTATGTTGCCCCAGGCTAGAGTGCCTTGGTGTCACCATAGTTTCTAGCAAGCTCAAACTCCTGGACTCAAATGATTCCCCTGGCTCAACCGCCAACATAGCTGAGCCTACAAGAGCGCCATGAATCCTAGCTTGTTTTTCTATTTTTAGTAGAGTTGAGGTGTCATTCTTGCTCAGGCTGGTCTCCTAAGCTCAAGCAATCCACCTACCTTGGCCTCCCAGGGCCCTAGGATTACTGGAATGAGCCACCGCACCCAGCCTAGAATTTCTAACCCATCATTCCTGTAATGGCTGCTTCCTAGAAGGCTGTGTTAGGTGGAACCTCTTAACCTTAGCATCTGATCCGGAGCTCCAGGAAGGGAAAAATTTCAAGACAATTGTTTTACACGCACACATATATGCCATCTAGTTGGATCCTTCAGCCCTCAAGATCCCAACATCATGACTATAGTTTTAACACAATTGCTCTCAGTCCTCATTTCACTGCTTTTGGTGCTGCCTGTTTTGGAAGCAGTGAGAACTAGAGGTGCACCTGTTAAGTGCAGTTCTCAGCATTACAGGCATTGGTGCTTGTTTGCAGGTATATGCGTGGAAAAGAAATGGACAGATGTGATTTTGAAGGCCCTCCTGAATCTCTCCTTGTCCTAAAAACCTTTGCACTGTTGAGGCTAAACCTGAGCTTTGGTGTCTGAACGTTTCCAAGTAACAGTTAACCGGGGAGTTTCATGTTTTTTGTCATGTCCATTAAAATAGAACAAATTAACAGATAAATGGAAAATTTTGTTTTCTTTACAATAAGCAATACACTAAAAATTTTGGCCTATAACTTATATTTACTGGTTAGAAAGGGGAGTCACAGAAGTAAGATGGTTGAAATTTATGTAAATAATATTTCATAGTTTTAGAATTTTCAAACCATATGAAACAGGAAGAAGGAAGCTGTTGCCTGGAATCCTAGGAAATAGCCACTGTTAAGTTATAATCATTGCTTCCTGAATTGTGGAGAAAAACCTCTCCATATTTTTATTATATTTTTGTTTTATCACCTAAGTTAATATTGTACTTAGATATCACACAGTCAGCCAAAAACGGAAAATTTTATCTCTGGGTAAAAAACATTTAGAAAAATGTATTCAGTGTATCTAATATTGAAATGGAAGAAAAAAGATTTAATATTAAAAAAAAAAAAAAACCTCTCTGTAGTGGGGCGTTGTGGTGGGCACCTGTAGTCCCAGCTACTCTGGAGGCTGAAGCAAGAGATTTGCCTAAGCCCAAGAGCTGGAGGTTGCCATGAGCTGTGACACCACAGCACTCTACCAGGGGCAACATAGTGAGACTCTGTTTCAAAAAAAAACCTCTTTGTATTAACATTGAAATGGAGAAGAAATCTAATTTAAAAAATAAACTTTATATTAGTTAAATGGAAAAAAGAAAAAAAGAATCTCTGATCCATGAAGTGGAGAGAAGGGACTGCCCGGTCTGGCTGTTCTGGGCATCTAACCCCAGCCTCATGACCATCCCTGCTAGCACAGGTGTTTTCTGCCTCCTACCACCGTGTTGGTGGAGGTGGGGACAGGGGTGGGCGATGATCTACTGAGACCAATGTGAGCAGAGAAAAAACACAAGTATAAGATATTCATTCAGCTTATCCCTGTCCTGTGGCACTGAGATAGAAGAAGGGAAGGGGCTTCTCCTGGTTTCCCTTGAGTTTCTCAGTCCTTATTCACCTCTCTCTTGCTTCTGAGGCATCTTCAGAATTGTGTTCATAGGAAGGGGCCTCAAGTATATTACCATCTGGTGGAAATAATTTTCCATGGCTTCTGATCACCCTCTGAGCAGTTATTCATGTGTTTACCTGTCTGTTATTTCACTCCCCCAGGCCCTACTAGGATGTCAGCTCCAAGAAAGTAGAAACTATCCTGCTCACAGTTGTCACCTCAGCACTGGGCAAGTTTGAATGAGTGATCACTGAGCTGGTGCTAGAACCCAGCTGTGATTCCAATCCAGAACTTCTTGCTCCAAATTTGGGACTTTTCTCATCCCAGCCCCAGATCTCCACTCTGAGCACTGAGATGCCCTTCTGGGAGAACCTGAAGATGGCCTGCAGAGGCAAAAGGTCACATTAATCAGGACCCCAACCAAGGTATGGGGTCCTTCCTCCAGACTCTGGCTAAAATACTGCCGAACAGTTAGACTTAGGGCAGGACTGAGTCTTGTACAGCTTTCAATCTCCACTGCTTGTTCACAGCAGATAATCAAGAAAGAGAGTATCTACTTTAGGAACATACAAAATTCTACTGGAGCAGATATTTCAGCATATTTATAGGAGCAGGAAATAGGGTTACTGGAAGAGAGGGCTGGGGGTTATATGGAGAAGGAGAGGGCAAAGTATAAGCCCTGCGCTTGCCTTAAAGGGGCTTTTGGTCTTGCACTTGTAACAGGGAAGTGAGGAGCCTTCACAAGCACTGTCCAAAGAGCTGCACACAGCTTTGTATGTTTAACTAAATGAAATGTAAAGTTTAGTTCCTCAGATGCATTAGCCAAATTTCAAGTGCCCAATAATGCCCACATGGTTCTACCCACTAGAGTAAACGACAGTGCAGATAGCATAAAATCTATCACAATTCTACTGGACAAGTCTGACCTAGGCCCTTAGAATGAAAGGAAATGTACTCCTGCTGCCAACCCGTCCCCTGCCACCTATACAGGTCAGAGCACCATCTGTGACAACGACATCTGCCCCACTAGACTTTCTGCTGTTTGCCTTCCCGGTTTTCACTCTCAGTGCCTAGGCAGTGCTCTGCACACAATATCTATTTGTGGAAATAACAGGTCCTCGATCAGCCTTTGCCAATTGTTAAAGAACCAAAGGAGAGCTGGGTGACCCCCTTCTCTGTGGTCACCCCCCACCCACTCCAAAGACGCTCGGTGAGAGACCGGTTCTGCCCCTAAACCAAGTGGGAGTCCAGGTTTCGAGACGTTCTTACCTTGTGAGGATATATTTGGACACAGGATCATTGTCTGTCTTCCCCCACCCTCGGCTGCCCAGAGCCTGGACCTCGTAGGTGCTCAACAAGTACTCGTTGGATGGATGGATGAGTGGATGAATGAATGAATGAATGAATGAGTGAGTGAGGGGCGGGCAGTTTCTCCCCTGCTCGGGAAGAACCGCCTCCCACCAGACCCCGCCTTCCTGCTGGCAGAGGGTGCGGCGAGAGCTGCGGCCCGCGGGCCGGGGGGTCCCGGTCCCGGGCCAGGCCCTCGGGGGCGTGTCTCCCCCACCCAGGCGAGGCTGCTCCGAGAGGCGGGCAGCGGGTGCACGGGGGCCGCAGAGAGCGGGCGGCGGCGAGCATGGAGCGCGAGCTGGAGGCGCTGGCGGCGCGGCCCGCGCGCCCGGCCGAGACGCCCTTCCAGGCGCTGGTGGAGGCGGCTGGGGGCCGCGGGCAGGTGCTGCTGGTGGGCGAGCTGTGGGAGCGCGAGCAGAGCCGCGCACTCCTGCGGGACTTTGCCCGGGCCGTGTTCCCACCCGAGCCGGCGGCGGCCAAGCCGGGCGGAGCGGCGACCGAGGGCGCGGGCCCCGGGGCGGCGCGCTGGGCTCAGAGGGCGCCGGGGGCGGCGGCGCGCGCCATCCGTTCGCCGCTCGTCTTCGTGCTGTGCCGCGAGTCGTCGCTGGCTGCCCGGGAGCCGCGGCGCCGCCTGCGGGAGATGCTGCGGGACGTGCGCGGCCGGCGGCGAGCAGGCGGGGCACTGGTCGGGGTGCTGGTGGCGGAGGCCGGGCCGGAGGACGCGGTGGCGCTGGGACTGCGGCTGCTGGAGGCGCTGCTTCGTACGGTGTTCGGCCGCCAGGCAGGGGGTCCGGTGCAGGCGGCCGCCTACTGCCCCGGCTACCCGGCCTCTAGTCTGGCCGTCCAGGCGGCCGCCTGCAGGGCCCTGCAAGCCGCCGGGCCCCGGCGACCAGGTGAGATTGCGCGGGGCCGAGCGGGGCGCGGGCGGGATGAGGCTGGGGGGAAGTCCCGAGGCTGGGCCCCTTTAGACCGTCCCCCTCTCACTGAGCACCGAGGTAAACTGAGGCCTAGAGCAGATTGGTGCCTAGCAGCATGCCTCTCAAGTAGCGGAGAGCGGGCCCAGGGCAAGGGGTCGAGTCTCTCCCGGGAGAATCCGGAGTGCATGGAAGATGCCCAGGGGGCTTGGAAAGCCGAGGGGATGATTAGGAGGTCGGAGAAGTGGGTAGGGAGAAGATTTGGGCTGGGCAGAGAAGGGGAAAGAAATGAGAAAGCCTTAGGATGCGAAAGCTTCGAGGGAGGTGGGTGGCAGAACTGGGATTCGGAGAGTTGGCAGCAGGGGATGCGTCGGGAACTCTAGGAGAAGTGACCCCTGGGTAGTGGACTCTTGATGCCCGCGGGGAATGCAAGGTGCCAGGGACTTAGAGGTGTGGGGGAGGTGCGTGGGACTGAAAACGCAAAATGTTCTTGCGCTTCCTGGACGCCTACCAAGATTGTGAACCCACTGCTGTCTCCTGCCTGCCCCAGGTCTGCTGAGGCTACCTTTCCCCGCCCCCCCCACACTCTCCTAAAAGGTGGGGAGGAGAGTGAAGGTCTTTTCCCACTGCAGCCATCCGCAGAAAGGTCAGAATCTCCTCCATCCTGGAACGCAAGGTTTTACAGGAACTGCAGTGCTCTAAGATTAAAATATGAACATTCAATATAGCTGGATCTGGCGAAACTGTGAGGTCTTTGCGCTCCCGGGCTCCCTCTTCCGGCCCAGCTGGGCAGCCCTCCAGCCCTGCAGCCTCTGACTCTTAAGGAGTTAATGAAGACTGTGGCTGTGTGGTGCTTGGGGATGTATTGGTGTGTAAGCTGGGTTATGAGAGATGTCAGAACTAGCCTGGGGGTGTGGGGGAGTCTTTCCCAGCCTAGAGACCTCTGATGTTCCCAGTGTCACAAGTCCACTGCCAGCTGAGGGCCGACCCTAACCTTTCTCCTTCTGGGCAGGACCTCTTCCTTTTTCGTTGGAGTTGTGAGGGTGGATTTTAAACTGAACGACAAGCATCCTAAAAAACAAAAACCAGAGAAATGCCCTGAACTGCACTGCTGTTCAGATTGCCCTTCCCGCCCCTTGACTGACCTGGGGGCCTCATCCTGGGGCCAGAGGAAAGAAGGGAATTCACACAATTTTTTTTCCACCCTATTGAGCTGGTGCCAAAAAAATTCTCAGCCTTTAGTCTCTTAGCCCTCCCCCATCCCAGGGAACAGCTTGCAATTCTTGAGAGCCTAGCTTGCTCTGGCCTCTGAAGCTGTAGCCTGAGCCTGAAAAGCCTTTTCTCCCCTCCTCTTCACCTGGCCAGTCCCATCTCATTCAGAGGGGAACGTCCTCCTGGAAGGCTTCCTGCCCTCCCTGCCCTGGCCCTTCCTGCTCCAGTTTGCAAGTTTGCTAGTGAAATCTGAGAACCTTTGCCCTCCTGCTCCTTAAGCTCTTACCACATGATTTTGTCACCGTTCACTTGTGAGTTTAACCACGACTGCATTCCCATTTCCTGACACCCTGCCTGGAATGCGGAATGGGTGAATGAATCTTTGCTTCCTTTTAAACAAACAGTAACACTTTTGAAATTTTAACATTTTTCGAGAGTAGCACTCCATTATGTTAAACTCTTCCTACTTTCGTAAAAACATACTGAATAAAATAAAACCTTTCATTAATGACTAAATGTCATGAGTGTAATTATAACTCACTGCCCACCAGTTTCTTCACAGTTTCTGCAATGGGCAGTGCTATGATCCTTAAGCCAAGTGGATTAAGTCACTAAGGTTTTACTAGCAGTTGCATCTGGTTGTTATACATTTTCTGATCTTTTTCCTCATTGCCTGATGATAATTCCCATTCTTTTAGGTTGCTTGCCTTTGGCAGTGACCTTTTACCTAGTTATGGTACCTAATCCAGCTGTTTTGGGGTTGAAATACTAAGGATCCGATCTTGTTAGAAGTGGGTAGTACAACTTAAGAGTAAATAGATCTGTCAGGTACCATGCACACCCTTCTGGTGACAGGTACACTGAAAGCCCTTCAGCATGATGTAATTCATCTATGTAACAAAAAAATACTTGCTCCTCTCCTAAACTTTTTAGGGAAAAAAAAAAAGTAAATAGGCCCTGGGTAAAGATTATGAACAAAGATTTTCCTTGTTTTGGCTGCCTGGAGTCCTTTTTTTTCTTTTTTAACGTAGCTCCTGGTGACTTTATATGATTATTACAAAAATATAAACTAAATCTATTCCTTTTAAGAAATTATTCGAGTACGAGCGCGGTGGCTCATGACTGTAAGCTTGCACTCTGGGAGGCCGAGGCGGGTGGCTCACTTGAGCTCAGGAGGCTGAGGCAAGAGGATCACTTGAGCCCAAGAGTTTGAGGTTGTTGTAAGCTATGATGCCACTGCACTCTACTGAGGGTGAAAAAGTGAGACTTTGCCTCAAAAAAAAAAAAAAAAGAAAGAAATGGTTTGAACTAACAAGTAGAGGGAAAGTGCAGCTCTTTGAGTATTTTCTTTCTTTGATGCCATGTAATTGTCATTAATTTTCATGTTATTTTTGTTGCTGTAGTTTCCTTAACATGGTACCTACATTATAGGACTTTTTGTGAAGATGAAATGAGATAACATAGATACAGCAATCATTTTTTTTAGTTCCTTAATACTATAAAACCCACTCACTTTTGCAAATTAGCATCTTTGTGTTTTTAATCAGACCATTGAAACTAGGGCAGTTGATAGTTGAGGTTCCTGGTTTGCTAAACAAAATCTCTTAGTCTTTTGAAGCATGTACCATCTGACCTCCTGACTCTGGGGTTTTGTGTTCTTTCTAGCAGAAGGACCGGGCCTTCCAGGACTGTTGGCCTGCTTTTCCTGGGGTCCCTGGAGCCGGAGGAAGGACCGAGATGTTGCTGTTTCCAGCCTCCCAGCTCAGGGTGAGTGCTTCACCCCTGAGCTCCTACAGCTTGAGTGTGTGGGATTATGGGAGTGGTCATATAGGCATGATGACCTTAAGGACAGAGTAGACCAGTCCATGGAGCACTTGCAGTGGGCACATGGGCTTAGTCAAGCCAGGCTTTTTCCCCAGGAGCCTCCACCTGATGTGGAGAGGGCTGTGATACACGTATCACCACATGCATGGTCCGGTGCAGGATTCAGGAAGTATCATGGAACAAGTAACATTTGAACTGGGAATGGAGGGATTTTCATAGGCAAGAATGGGAAGATTTGGAGCACCCTGACTGAAGGCTTGACAGCACAATGTCATGCCCAGAAAAGGGACCACCATCAGGAACACCCAGAAGTGAGATACAGAAGACCAGTGAGGCTGAAGAGTCAGGACTAGATCAGAGCCGTGGATGCAAATCCTTCAGGAGCAAAGTGCTTCTGGAAATTTCTGAGCAGGCAGAGTAGGGGTGTACTCAAAGGCCTGGCTGGCCTATAGGAGCAGGGAGAGAGCAGAGGCTGAGCCCAGCTAGGCAGGGACTCAGCTGTTGCAGGAGGGATGACAGGCTACCTGGGCCCCACCCAGGAAGTGGGAATGGAGAGGAATTCATTTCTGGACAAAGCCATCAGGCCACTAACTGGAGGTGAGCAAGAAGGCACCGAGAGGCACTAAGGTGCTGGTGCTGGGGTGAGGAAGATGGGAAGCATAGTATCCACCCCTTTTCTGAAGGGGATCCTTCCCCCAAGATGCTCTAGGGATTCCAGAAACCAGCTAGAGTACCAAACCCTGTGTATACGCTTGTTTTTTCCTATGTATACATACCTATGATAAAATTTAATTTATATATTAGCCATAGTTATTAGTAACAATAATTAATAATAAAATAGAAAGAACAGTTATAACAATGTACTGTAATAAAAGTTAAGTGAATGTGGTATCTTGAAATATCTTACTGCACTGTACTGTGGGTAACTGAAACTTCAAAAACTAAAACCACAGGTCAGAGGGACTACAGTACCCAGGGTAGCCAGGTATAGCCCTTGGAATGGACAAGATGTCACCCCAAGGTGCACGGAAAAGTATAGCTTTGTTACATAAACAGGCAGCAGTGGTTTAAAATAATTTTTTATTGTGTCTCTTCCTATAAAAAAAAAATCATTAGTTAGTCTATCAGTCTTTATTGTTCCCTAACAAGTTACCACAAACTTAGTGGCTTCCAATGAATTGATTGGGCTCCTAACATCAGGCTGGCTTCAGCAGGGGTTGCTCTCAACCCCAAGAGGCCCCTACAGTTCCTTCTTCTCCCAATCCCTCCTACAAGACCTCTCCTTCAATCAGCAGGAGACTCTCCCTCTCCATTTGGCTGAGGGGAAGTCTCATGTAACCTAAGGTAATAGAGGATGTTTATTAACCATCCCCTTTGTCATATGAGGTACCTTAATCAATATAGTGACAGTCATCATTTTCACAGAGCCCACCCACATTTGGAGGAGGGCTTTACACAGGGTCTCTACAATCTTGGGAGCTGTATTAGCATTCTGCCTGTCACAGTTGAAGATTTAAAACATACGCAAAAAAAACAAAAATGAAAAAAATTTTATTTAATTTTTTTCACTCAGAGGTAGCTACAGTCAATATTTTGGGGTAAGGCTATTTTATTTACCTGTCTATTACTCTTTCTCTCTCTTTGTGCTATTTAAATTTTAATAAAGTCATTTCTATATAATATGTAATCTTGAAAATGCAGCAGAGACTTAAAATATTCAATTGCAAAAATATTAACTTCAAGTACTCCATTATTTTTGGAAACTGAGGGAAAAAAATAAAGCAAAGGAATTATTGGCAATTTTATATTAATCTTGGGTAACTTTCCTCTCTGTGGTACATAACAAATGTCATGTAGAAGTGAATGTTTGAAATGCAAATGGCATTTGTGGATACAGATTAATAAACATAGGCTATTATACTTACATACAGTTATACAGTCATTCATTGCTTAATGACAGGGATGTGTTCTGAGAAACGTAATGTTAGGCAATCACAGAGCGTGCTTACCCAAACCTGGATAGTCTAGCCTACTACACACCTAGGCTATATGGCATAGCGTATTCTCCTAGGCTATAATATGGTACTAAATACAGTTGGAACAAAATGACAAGAATTTATGTTCCTAAACATAGAAAAGGTACAGTAAAAAAACAATGTAAAAGGTAAAAATAGGCTAGATGCAGTGGATCAAGCCTGTAATCCTAGCACTGGGGGGACCAAGGCAGGAAGATCACTTGAGGTCAGGAGTTCAAGACTAGTATGGGCAAGAGTGAGACCCCATCACTACTAAAAACAGAAAAAATTAGCCATGCACAGTGTCGTGCACCAACTGCTTTGGAGGCTGAGGCAAGAGGATCACTTGAGCACAGGAGTTTGAGGTTACAGTGAACTGTGATCATATCACTGCACTCTAACAAGATTCCAGATAAAAATAGTGCACCTGGATAGTGCACTTTCCATGAATGGAACTTGCAGGACTGGAAGTTGCCCTGGGTGAGAGTCAGTGAGTGAGTGGTGAGTGATATGAAGGCTGAGGACACTGTTGGACACTATTGTAGACTTTATAATACTGTACACTTAGGCTATTCTAAATGTATACAAAATAGTTTTCTTCAGTAATTAAGCTTAGCTTACTATAACTTTATCAACTTTTAAACATTTTTAAACTTTTTGACTCTTGTAATAACATTTAGCTTAAAACATAAACACAATGTGTAGCTGTCTAAAAATATTTTTCTTTTGTGTTTGTTTTCTTTTGAGACAGAGCCTCAAGCTGTCACCCTGGTTAGAGTGCTGTGGCGTCTCAGCTCACAGCAGCCTCCA